TTGATCAGCCAGTTGTCTGGTGTCTTTTTGACGTTGTTGGTGGGTTATCATGGACATCACAAGATTGCAATATGCTTTACGCCATGGTCACATCGTGCTGAAACCTTTGTTTTCAGATGGATGATTTTTCCACATGCTCACAGAACAACCCTGTTCAGTGGGGAGAAGAAACAAGGAAAACCGAGGGAACCAGTGCCTTCAAGCTTTCCCTTGCTGTAGAAAAAACAACATGAAACAAACGCAATACAAGATGCGTTTACATACATAGATCAAAAACGATCAACATTGATCAACCATATAAGTTGGGACTATCCTATTCCCTGTAACAGCGGATGATGATGGTTAGAAAAGGCTTTTCTCCAAAAGAGTGGTACTTGTTTACCGACCGATACAGTACAGAACACCCGCAACATATAAACCAATTTGACCTTTCAGAACAGCACCAAAGGTGTCACAGTTGAGCAGTTTACAGCCATGATTCAACTTCCTTGTTGCTCCTCAGCTCCTCTGCAGCAAACTGTAAGGCCCTGCCATCTTTCTCCACCAGTGCTCGAACAACTTCCTTATCTCTCCGCAGCTCCTCCGAAGCAAATTGTAAAGCCGCAGGAAACGCCTCGACAGCAGCCTGAACGACTGCCTTGTTGCTCCTTAACTTCTCTGATGCAAACTCAAAGGCCCAGCCATTTCGTTTCACAGCGGCCCGAACGACTTCCTTGTCGCTGCGCAGCTCCTCTGAAGCAAATTCTAAAACCCAACCAACTTGTTGCACCATGGCCAGAACGACTTCCTTGTTGATCTCCAAATGCAGCGGAAAGAAATCCAAAACCTGATGAAACGACTTGATGGCAGCCTGAACGATTTCCTTGTCGCCCCTCAGCTCCTCTGAAGCAAACTGTAAGGCCCAACCATTTCGTTTCACCGCGGTCTGAACGACTTCTTTGTCGCTGCGCAGCTTTTCGGAGACAAACTGTAAGGCCCTACCGTCTTCCTCCACTGCAGCCTGAACAACTTCTTTGTCGCTTGTCCGCTCGTCTGAAGCAAGTAGGAAAGCCGCAGCAGACAAATCGACGGCAGCCTGAACGACGGCCTCGTCCGTCCATAGCTCCTGTGAAGTAAGCTGTAAGGACCGCAAGGACAAACCATGTTGCTTCCCCTTGGCCGGAGCACCTTCCCTGTCACTATTCAGCTCCTCTGGAGCAAACTCTAAGGACGAAACATTTTGCTCCACTGCAGCCTGCACAGCGGCCTGAACGACTTCCTTGTCTCTCCCAAGCTCCTCTGAAGCAAACTGTAAGGCCCTACCATCTTCCTGCACTGCGATCTGAACGACCTGCTTGTCGCTCCTCAGTTCCTTTGAAGCAAACTGTAGGGCCCTACCATTTTTGTCCACCGCGATCTGAACCACTTCCTTGTCACCCCTCAGCTTCTCCGAAGCAAACTGTAAGGCCCAACCATTTTGCTTCACCGCCGCTTGGACGACTTGCTTATCGCTCCTCAGTTCCTTTGAAGCAAACTGTAAGGCCCTACCGTCTTCCTCCACTGCGGCCCGAACAATTTTCTTGTTATTCCTCAGATGCTCTGAGGCTTCTTCCAACTGAAGACCACGCTGCTGAACCTTCTTCAGCCAGCTGCTCCGCTCAGCCCTTGCCTCGCGGCTTTGGCACTTCTAAACTACACCCAAACTCCACCATTGGCAGTTTCTTTTGCACCCACACATTTGATCATTTGGACGTGTCACTTTAGAAACCACTACATCAACACCAGTGAAGCAGGCCACACGGGTAGGTTGACCATACTGCTGGCCAAACATGTCACACGTACACAATATATGTAGACCCCCAAATAGGTTCGATATGGTTCGATCGAACAGTAGATCCCCCACTAAACATGTATTGGACACCATGCCACTATCTATTTCGGGACCATTGGGGATCACAAAAAATACGTGGCCAAAATCTAGGCCCTGCTCAACTCTATAATTTTGGAAGACTTCCTGAACACCTCGGACACACATGGGACGCTTTGACACTTTGTTGAGAGACGTTTTTGGGACTCGACGCTTCCAAGAAGTGTCAAAAAAGGCTCGACGGCAAAACTTGAACATTCGAGCCTCATCATTGCAGCAAGCCCAATGTTTTTCCTGCAAGACAGGTACCTCAACCAGCTAGGCAAGAGAATGCGATGGGAATGTCAACATCTGGCTGGATAAAGATTCTCTGCTGGATGTTGGGTTTTGGTGCACCAAGAAATGTGGCAAGCCATGCTTCAACATCTCTGTTCAACAGGGACTGGGTCGGACATACCCTCACACAAAACATAACCATGGTTGGTTCATGGATCCTCTGATCCCTCAACTCCCATCCCTCATCTCCCTATCCCATCCTCTGAAATCAGTCCCAGCAGCTTCGAGGGCATCATCCCTTTGGGAAAATGCCTCGGCCACAGCTGATAGTAATTGTTCTTTTCTGCTGTGCTCTGCTGCACGTGGAAACGGTTGACAACTGACCAAGCACTGGCAGCTTTTTTCGTCCCAACTGAGGCCGCTACACAAGCCTGGCCCATGGCGTTCTACCTTCTTGCATATTAGGTCAAAGAGGTTCAAAGGATTGGAAGGACTGGCCCTTTAGGTCTAAACGACTGGTATCTGAATCTGATGCTGAGACCAGTCAGCAACCTATCTGGTCCTATTTTTGTGTGTGGGGAATCTTCTATTGCACGAGCTTCCTCAGTATATATATATATATACATAGAACATATTCTCGAACTGTTAAAATCTGGGAAGCCCTTAACGCCTTGAGACGCATGGCCTGCAGAACATCGGAACATCAAAGTTCTGGTCGAACATAGAGCTTAGTGGAGAAGCTAGGCTTGCAGAAAATATGTTTATACAGAGAAGGGTGGAACCTTCAAACTGTTGATCCAGTAATTATCTGTTTTCATGCTTCGTCCAACATATAGGGTCGATAGCATAAACCATTTCACTTCGGACAGATCCAGGTCGTCGACGGCCAAGCTGGTAGAGCAGGTGCCCTGGGAAAGCTGAGTGAGTCAAAGCCGTCCCTGGCCGAATTCTTCGGTACACTTTTCGCGGGTGCGCGTTAGGTTGGCACAGGTCCGGTTGGCCAATAAAGGTCCGAGATGTCAACAGCGGGGTGCGCCAGGTGGTGTAGGCACTACAGTAGAAGCCAAACATGTGCAGGTTGAGATGTCAACATGAAAGCAAAGTGTGATGGTTTTCTTTGCAGCAAAGCAAATTCAATCATCTCCGTTGAACATCACAGCCCGCAGTGGCGTCATAGCCAGCGCGACTGGAGAGGTTCGCTTCCGCGGCGGTTTCCGGGCAGTTCTGGAATGACTTACGCCATGCGCAGTTGACAAGCTTGCGGGGTCTGCATTCTCTGGCAGACTTGTCTGGAAAAACACTGCTCAGAGGCTTTTGGGGTCTGTTCAAGTAAGAAAGGTGCCTAAGACTGCAACGAACATCAAATGAACTCAAACTCAAAAAAACAAAAGTTCTTTCTTCGAGTCCGCGGCTTGCACACAACTGGATCACGATACATTAGGTTATCAGGGTTCTTCTGTGAAAGGTTGAACTGCCGTTGAAAGGACAAAAAAGAGTCCTTCTTTGCAGCCGCAGTGTGTTTTCAGGCTTGTCCAATAAGTTTGTCCGCGACTTTGTCCGGTGGGGCTACGATGACAGGTCTTGAATGAGACAAAACTGAGACTTCGTTGGAGTCAAGGAGGCATTTTTCAAACATCCCTCCAGAACAAAACCGCACCAAATCGTTTCGTATCGCATCACCTTCACCGTGCCTTCTCTGGTCAATCGCTTGCTTTTCTGAGGGCAGAATCCCTGGCAGTTTCGCAGGGTTGGTTGAGCAGAGCAACAAAGCAAGTCTTTCGTTGCTCAGGAGGTCAATGCAATTTGGGGCTTGGCTGGAGTTGGCTCTGAGGGGTTGCATTGTACAAGCCGGAATCGTCCTGGTGAACCTATTAACTTAATAGCCTGTGAACTCTGTCGGCTCCCCTGTTACGAGCGGAGAAGCTAAATGACACAAGGGCCGAAGGAGGCTTGCAGGAGTTCGCTGGCAAAGGATACACGAACAAACCATGGCCAGTCGCAAACATATCCCAACTGAGATGTACAAAATCCCACTATACACTTAGTGCTTCAACTTGGCTCGACATGGGTGAATCTTCGTTGGGTGTGTGTCCTACTCATTGAAACAGTGGATCACGAAGGTCAGTCAAGGACTAGAGCAACTTGAGCCCCAACCTTGACAATCCTGTAACTGCTAGCTGCTATTACAGTGATTTCGCGGTACTTTGCACCAGAATACCCAGCGATGTCAGGTAACACCACGTGACGGCGTAGTCATTCTGCAACGGAAAAAATACCACGTCCCGTGAATGGGTCCTGCGTAGCACCGGCGCATGCGCAGCACACAGTGGGACGAAAGCCAACCAAACGACCACCGGCGAAAGCGCTACGCTCTCTAACTAGTTCGAGGTCTTTTCATCCATCCGCTGCACCAAAATCAATCAAATCGCTCACCCGAATCCCAGACACTTGAATCGGTCAGATGAATCGCCTCCTCCTTGCCTCGCAGTGGAGCGCCGGCTTGGTGGCGAGGGAGATGAGTCGAAGCGCGGTGGAAACGAGGTAGCGAGGTAGACATGTTATGGGATGTGCCGTCTGAAACGAATTACATGTCAAAGAATTCCTTTGAAACGCAAGCAAGCTGCAATCACATGAATTTGCCCAGACATGTGAAGGTCAATTGAGAAAGCAGCAACACGCTGCCAAGACATGGAAGGAAGCCGTTTGCCACAAATCATCATCTTAAAGCAAGCTGTCTGGGATTTCCCCTGAAAGTCTGCGCAGAAATGGTTCTTTGAATAGGGGGTAGTAACGACGCTTGTGGCCGTTTGATCGCCCGGGTCAGACTTCGAATGATCCGATCTCCGATCTCCGGATGTGTGTCTCGATCTCTCGTTTTTCAACTCTCTGAACCTTTGGCATCTTTAGCATCTTTGGCTTTGCCATCTCTCTTGAAACTTGGAAAGCTTTGGAAAGCGCTCCGCGCGCCCGTCGCCGTCTTCGACAGGAAGCCCCGCAGCCGCTCCGCGCCCGCCGCGGCGCTCTCCGCGGCGGCCGCCGCCGGCGTGGGCGGCGTCGCCGTCGTCGGGACGCCGCGCTTCTCGGCTTCGCGGTGCAGCACCGCCGCGCCACCCAGGACGACGGAGACGCGTGGCATCGAAAGCTGCTCGGCTAAGAGCTCAAACAAAGCAGCAACGGCACCCGGCCGGCACAGTTGAGCGGAATCCCAATCTTCCTCACCACCCAGAATGGCCAGATGAGCTCTTTCAGATTCAGATAACCAACCTTCACCCCAAGCTTCAGAAGCTGCCAGTTGCAGGGACTGAAAGACTTCAGCTCCCAAGCCATCATCTTCGGCAGCCATGGTTGGAGTGGAATCCTTCCTCAACACCAAATCGCCTACTTCCACCATGGCCTGCTTGGGTTTGCACAAAAGAACACACTCAAAGGCACCTGAAAGTATCCCTTTATCACAATTACTCTTCTAGCAACAAGATTACCCAAATGGGAAAATAGATGAAAAGATATGAAAAGTCAACATCCTCTGATCAGCAAAAAACACACCAAACCAGAACCGCCTGCTTCAGTGCTTGCGCCAAGCGTTCCGCGGACCGGCGGCTTCCATTCGTGGCTTGCGCCAAGCGTGCCAGGCACGGCGGATGGAAGTGCACGGCGTGCGGCAGGTGCTCCGCGTCGAAGGCGCTGCGCGGTCGCACGTCCAGCAAGAGCACTCGGAGGGAGGGTAATCCAGAGGAAGGCACAGCGGTGCCGGCTTCGGAGACCTTGGATGGAACAGGCTTCGTTGCTCCGTTCGGTAGCGAATGGCCCTTTGTTGCGTTCGTAGCGAAGCCTTGTTCCTATAGTTTATAGTAATGCCAGGAGCTACTAGTAGCTTCTTGCTACTACAAGACTGAGAAGACACAAGCGTTGCTGACTACGTTTGCCAAAAAGTTCAATCCAAACGAGTTTCTTGTTACCAAACGAGGCTTGTCGTGGCTTGTGACACTGAAAGCTTTAAACTCTCCAGTCACATAAGCACACATTTCCGTCAGGAGACCCGGACATATTGCGCAATCGCTTCCCTGGCGAGCAGCGCCAAGCGCCGTTCTTGCTCCGCACGAGCAAGCACACTTTCAGTCCAGGGATGGCCAGTCTCCTTCCTGAGCACCCAGGCGGGCGGACGTCGCTCCAAACCGTTCAATGAGTTGAGCGCAACTGATGCCAGTTGGTACACCACTTGGAGGCCCCACCTAAGTGACCTGGGCGGATTCCCAACAAATCGACCCCGACTACTCTAGGGATCCACACAAGGAAGGAACCCCAAAGACATCCACTGCATGTCTGACTGCATGTCGCTCAGCTTCCGTAGCTGTTGCCTCACTTGAGTGAGCACTTTGGACATCCGGAAGGTAAAGGACTTGGGTGTCCTCGCATGCAAGCTCTCGGCCGCTTTCCAAACATCGCGCAACTTCTCCAGCGAGGTGATTCGAGTACGATCCACCGCAGAATTCCTTAGAAAGGTTGGGGGAGAAGACTGTCCTGGAGCATGGTGCAGAACCGTTAGAATCTCCAGATTCCAAAGAGAAGTAACATTCATTTAAAGAGACACACACGGAAAAAAACACATGAAAAACATCAAAACATCATCAATACTCACACATGCAAAGTTTGGCTTCAAATCATCCTCTTCCACATTGAGAAAGGCTTGTTTCTCCAGCTCCATAAGTGCCACCGCCAAGAAGGGCACGAAGGTGGGATCTCCACGTCGAATGTATTCGTGCCAGAGGCGCATGGTGACGTGCAAGGGATTCTTGTAAGCAAACAAGGTGATGAACCAGGGAGTAGCATACACCACCGGTGCCACCCCTGCCTCTTCCAGTTGGTTGTGCAAGTGAGGTAGATGGTACAACAAAAGCTGACGGAAAAAGAGCAACGTGATGTGCAAGATCACGAAGCCTCACAGTCTGCAACGGGAAGCTACTAGTAACAAGGGCAATACTAGTAACAAGAAGCTACTAGTAGCAAAGGGCATAGCTATAAGTAGCTTCTTGTTACTAGTAGCGATGCAAGATCACTAAAGTCATTGTCTCATCCAGGATGAGTCGTAGGCATAGGTCCAAGCTACCGATGGCAAACACCGTGAACGCTCCTTCACTCCCCCGGAAACATCGCATTCGGACTTGGTTCGGGTCAATGCCTCTTGACAAGCTTTACAACCGTCAGAAACACTTCTGAAAACCTTCATAAACATTCCGTTTCAATTGTATGTGAATCACATAAAGCCAAGCCACCAGCTTCTGAACAAGACACCAACAAAAACATGTTATATACATAAAACATCTTTTCAGTTCCACCGGAGGTGCTCTCCGCATCGTAGAAGCAGGGCATAAAGTTTCGCACGAAGGCCATGAAACACTCCAAGGTCCGGCTCGACGCATCCGTCGACTCCGTCGACTCCGTGGGGTGAAAGCCTTCGGTCGACTCGATGTAGGCGAAGACCGCGGCAACCTGCCAGCACACAGGATCAAGGCACCAACAACTCGTATACGAAGCCACTTAAAGAAACATCAACGGGCTAAACCACTAAACAGAAATAATGGAACACACGTTGAAACAAATCAAGGCTCTTTTGTGAGAAAATCATGTATTTTCAGTGAGTCTTTTCCGTGACGAACGAATTCAGATTCGTCCTCCCCGCAAAAAGGTTACACACAAACGACCCACCGCCTAATATATTCCTTTTACACTCCTTTTCACCTGAAAGGCACCAAAGCCACAAACCGCATGCGCACGCACGTTTTGCGCACCTCATGTAAGCCCTGCATGTAGCGGATCTTCTCCTTCAAACAAAGCTGTGTCAACAGCTCTCGGAGCCTCTCCCGCATCTGTGGCCCGAAGGCCGGGTGGTTCCCGCGCGTGCGCATCACGTCCACGCGGATGGTGTGCGTGTCGGCCTCGGTGAGGGCCGAGTGGGCCGGGTGCTCCACACCGGGGCCTCGGCAGTTGGAGTGCAGTCGGACAAAAGAGGAGACAGTGAAGGGAAGGAGGAAACCTATCTTGGAGTTCGACGTTGAAATACGAACGATTCATTCTGAATTCTTGAGATGGACATGGCAAAACCTATCTTCATGGAATGAAAGCAGAATGATAGCACCATTCTCACTTGTGGCTTGCAACCCAAACCTTTCAAAACCATTGGCCCCGTCAACAATAACTACAGTATTACAGTAATTACAAAACAATTCCAAATCTTCTTCACCCACTGTGGCCTTCAGTGACTTCCTTCTCGTCTTTGAGTCGTCCTTCCTCCTCAGAGCTCTTCAGCAACATGCCTGGCCATAGCTTCGCACACTCCGCCGCCAACGAGACCACTCCCTCATCCTGCACTTCAGATTCTTCGTCCATGGCACCAGCTTCGGGGGGCGGAAAAAACCAAAAAGCCGGGCGACAAACATGAGCCCAGCTGGAGGACCAAGCCACCATGAAGCGTGAAGCGTTGTGACCGGAAGGTCGTCTAGGGGAGTGAAAGTGGGGAAAGATGACAGGCGGCAACCAGAAACATCCAGTTTGACCAACGCATCGAACAGTTGGGAAGACGTCGTCTTTCCTAAATCTCATCCACTTTCTGTCAGCAAAAGGCTCCCATGTTGGATGGGCTCAAAGCAGGGAAAATGAGCAGGATTGACCGCAAGTGACGGCCACCTTCGGACCAGGGACGACAAAGGGACCACAACGGACCATGTCCAGTCTCGCCCAAATCTGCGCTCGGACCCGGCAAGCCAAGCTACGAACGGAGCGTTCGAACGCGAACCGAACGCTGCTCCTGGTATTACCAGTAACAAGAAGCTACTAGTAACAAAGGGCATCGCTACTAGTAGCGATGCCCTTTGTTCCTAATCAGCTTTCCTTGCCACAAGACGAAGTTGATCTAAGATTCCCCATGCACCAGGCTGCAATGGCCTCCCCATTTCAGTCTCCCTTCTTGAGATCAGGAGGTGCTTTCTAAACATCATCTTGGCCTTCAAAGAGGAACAATACACGTTGCCTGTCAGAGTTATCAATCAATATTAAACACATGTTTGTTGTGCTGTATCAACCTATCCCCAAAACCGCAAGTATCGCAAATGACCAGGTGCGTTTCAGAGATCGAATCCAAACCGCGTACCATTCGAAATCTCATGCATCTGCCCACAACCCCCCCCGGACCGACCACACCCTGGGCTCGCCTTCCACCAACAGCTGTCTGGGTCGCCTTCCACCGACTTCATTCGAGCGGTCCACGCGAACGGAACGCACGCCGTCGGACCGGCTAAAGCTCGACGTGCCTTTTGCTGCGTAAGTAGGAAACCAGCAGTAGCAATCATTGGCAAATTAAATGAGTACAAGTCAGGATCTCCTCAGACGTCTCTGTGCTCAACTAGTGCTCGGATTGCAAATTGCCGGCCTTGCTTGGCTGGATCATGTTGCGTCACATCACCTGCGGAGAGCACACCGCCACTGCGACCCATGTCACTTTGAAGATGAGGCATTTTTTACATGTTTTTCTTTATTTCCTAGTAGCGATGGCCTCCACCTAGTGGCTTCTTGCTACTACTAGTCAAAAGTTATCATCTTTACTCGAAATTCGTGGGAGTGGCACCCCTACTGCACCATTCTCAAGGCATCCAAGGGGATGATGCTGGCCGTCTTGTTGATGAACACCTCCAACCCTTGAAAGCGGCAGCTTCAATCTGCTGGTTGCGCTCCTTTTCTTGCGTTGTGTCGCCATGTCAGGCTCTGCTTTGCAGATGCCCAACCAGGCGCTCGAGATCCAGGCATTGAACCACCAGACGCTGCGCCGATGAGCCAATCAATTCATCGATTCAGATTGGGAATCAATCAATCTATTGTAGCCCTGAGAAACATCACGTCACAAAGGGATCTTCAGGAAGCAGCCATGAACCTTGGAAATACCCTGGAACATCTAGCCATCCTCAGAACTCTTGGCTCAAATCCCAAGGACTTGAATGATTTTGAACGCTGGCAAATCGTTGTTCCAAAAATCACTTGGGAGCCCCCCCCCCCAAGTTTACCTGGAATGGGCTATATTTTCCCGTCCCATGTCTGAGACTTTTTGAATCTTTCGCAAACACATGCAAAAACCCTTCGAACCGGACGCCACACACCTCCGGAAGTTCACCCGTTGGATCCTGCAAAGCCCCTCTCCCTTGCGGCGGTCAACGCGGAGGCGGTCTGGGTCAACTGCGCCGGCAGAAGGAGATCCGGACCGTTGGAGGCGGGTTGGGTGGGTGTTTGGAGGATTCGCGCCGTTCTTTCACGGGGCCCTTTTTCTGTGAAACAAGAAGAGGTTGGGCAAAAAGAATGGAGAATTTCAGAATGACTTGCTCCCAAACTCCCAAGACACGGTACAACAATGATGTGCAAATTAAGGATAAAAGAACAGGACGTCTTTGAAACCCTGCGAGGGGTTGAAAGGTTCGTTTCCCTCCTCTGCCGATTTCCAGAGACCCTGGCGACCACCCCAGTGGAATCGCCGCCCGGCGGAATCGCTGGGTCTTATGCCTTCTGCTGCCCGGAAGATCCGGGGCCCTACTTACTGTAGGGAGCCCTGCGAAGAAACTCACTGCCATCCAAAGGAATGGCATCCTTTCCAGTAGCATAGTAAATGTTTACCAGAATTCTCTTGGTTTCCTTTCCCAAGTGGTCTCTTATGGGGTGTTGTCAACCAGTCTTGCCAGTCAAACATTCTGCGGAGGGGGGTATCGGAATAGGCTCTTACTCCAGATGTGTACCCATGTGTGACTTCATAGGTTCAGCACTGCGCGCTTTGACTCCCTATGAACCCCTCTGGAGGGCATGGACAACCAAGCTCCTGGTTTGAGGCCAATGTTACTTTGATAGCAAATCTACTGGATGCACAATAAACAAAACCTCTCATTCTAACTGTAAAGCCTCTTCACATGGCATATGGGTGTCTTATTAATCACGAGTCTAGAGTCTACAAGAACAAAATCCAGAGGCCATCGCTCCAACTGTTCGAGGCCATTGCTTCTATTGGTTGGAGGCCATCGCTACTATAGGTTGGAGGCCATCGCTACTATAG